GGAGTTCCAGACCAGCCTGGCCAACATGGTGAAACCCCATCTTTACTAAAAGTACAAAAATTAGCCGGGCATGGTGGTAGGTACCTGTAGTCTCAGCTACTTGGGAGGTAGAGGCAGGAGAATCGCTTGAACCCTAGAGGCAGAAGTTGCTGTGAGCTGAGATCGCACCACTGCACTTTAGCCTGGGAGACAAAGCAAGACTTCATCTCAAAAAAATAAAATAAAATAAATTCTGAATCCATTTTAATAAATGGATTGATAATTTGTTAAGGAGTTGGGTATTTGTGTAGTTAGTTTTAAAGTATCTCCCTCCAAAAATTGGCCAAGCACAATGGCTCATGCCTGTAATCCCAGCACTTTGGGAGGCTGCGGTGGGTGGCCTCTTATTAATTATGAGCCTTTTCTCTTATTAATTATAAAGAGAAAAAGTAACCTCACAGTGGAAAAGCTTGGCAGACAACACCTCATCAAGAGATCAAAGTCAACTTCATTAGTTCCTTGGGGCTGATTTCTGCATCCTTTTAACTACCGTACTTTGAAAATAGGCCAGGTGTGGTGGCTCATGCCTGTAATCCTAGCACTGTGGGAGGTGAGGCAGGCTAATTGCCTGAGCTCAGGAGATCGATACTAGGCTGGGCAACATGGCAAAACCCCATCTCTACTAAAAATACAAAAAAAAAAAAAAAAAATTAGCTGGGTGTGGTGGCACCACCTGTAATCCCAGCTATTCAGGAGGCTGAGGCACAAGGATTGCTTGAACCTGGGAGGCGGAGGTTGCAGTGAGCCGATCATACTATTGGACTCCAACCTGGGCAACACAGCAAGACTCTGTCTCCAAAAAAAAAAAAAAGAAAGAAAGAAAATAATAAACACATTGTATGTTAAAATAACATTTTTATGAAAAGCAACTGTTTTTCAAAATAAAATAATGCATGAAAAGAGTGGTATTGTTTTATATTTTTGCAAATGTCTTTAATATCTGGCTTAATAGAAAGCAGCAAGATTCTCATATCTGCTTCATATATACCCATTGTCACACAGATATGTATTTGGAAATGAAAGAGGCTTCTTTGATATAGCATCGAAATTCACTAAGTGGTAATTTGTTTGTTTACTTTAGAGACAGGGTCTTGCTGTCCCCCAGGCTGAAGTTCAGTGGCTATTCACAGGCACGATCATAGCAACAACCTCAAATTCCTGGGCTCAAGTGATCCTCCTGCCTCAGCCTCTCAAATAGCCGAGAATACAGGTAGGCACCACCACACCCGGCTCAACAAGTGGTAGTTTCTTAAAAGTTCATTGCAATGTGGAATCTGAACCATATGAGTAATCACTTCATACTCTATTATGTGAAAATCCATTGGCCAATCTTGAACTTTGAATGATCTTTCACCCATGCATGATTTTATAATAGCATGCATAGGTCATTTGGAAACTATTGATTCACTGAATCATACTGGTCTTCTAAATGTTGACACAGTATGCAATATTTTAAAAATCACATTTGTTAACATCCGAGTTCATTAGGAAAATCTTTCAGAATTAAATGATGTCAAGCTCATCATGATAGCAGTGATTGCATCACTGCACTCTAGCCTGGGTGACAGAGTAAGGACTTGTCTCAAAAAAAAAAAAAAAAAAAAAAAAGGGGGAGAGAGAAAGACCCGTCTGTCCACCTGTAATTCAACCCCTCGGAGTGCCCTGATAGAGTCTCGAACTGTCTCTCAGGCTGGAGGGCAGTAGCGTGATCTCGGGTGACTGCAACCTCTACCTCCCAGGTTCAAGTGATTCTCCTGCCTCAGTCTCTTGAATAGCTGGGATTACAGGCATGTGTTTTTGCAGTAGACCAATTCAGGTGCATGTACTTTATACACATAACATGATTAATGTTTCAATGGTCATATATCTAATTTACAAGAAATATCACTGTTTCCTTACTTATGGGGAAAAATAAGTAAATATCAGGTATTTGCTGTTATGGCAATAGAGAATAAGCCCAAATACTAGTAATCTGCACACACAGACCAGTGATTGCTATTATTCGTGTCCAAGACAAAAATTAAAGGCAATCAAGGGAGTGACTCCTTCCTAGTTACATTGTCTCTTTTTTGTTTTGTTTTGTTTTGTTTTTTGAGACGGAGTCTCGCTCTGTCGCCCAGGCTGGAGTGCAGTGGCGCGATCCTGGCTCACTGCAAGTTCCGCCGCCTTCCGGGTTCAAGCCATTCTCCTGACTCAGCCTCCCTAGAAGCTGGGACTACAGGCGGCCGCCACCTCACCTGGCTAATTTTTTTGTATTTTTAGTAGAGACGGAGTTTCACCGTGTTCACCAGGATGGTCTTGATCTCCTGACCTCGTGATCCGCCCGCCTCGGCCTCCCAAAGTGCTGGGATTACAGGCTTGAGCCACCGCGCCCGGCCTACATCGTCTCTTATTTGCCAGAGAGGTAGATCTTGAATTACAAAGTGCTTTATCTCCTCTATCACTCTGGATTCAACTGTAGTATTGAGTGTACATATTCAACAAAAGCCTATGAAGCACTGACAATGGGAACTTAACCACAGTGCTTGTAGGACCATTATATAGGTAAAACAGATTTTGAGTCTGCAGATATTTAATAAGATTATCACAAAAAGTTCCATTACATCTTTAAATATATAAATACTGATACCACATTTACAAAAAAATGAATGGACATTTTTATATAAGAGGTAATATTGAAATGACCTAATATCTAGGAAGAAAATAGTGCTGGGATTACAGGCTTGAGCCACCGCGCCCGGCCCCGTATTTCTTCTAAAATAAAATTTTGATCATTCACAATGACAGTTTAGAGAGCTTTTAAGGATCTGGTTTTGTTTTGTTTTGGAGTTTTTAGTAAGCATACATTTTGTAAATCAGTAAACACAACACACAAAAAAGTAATGTGTACTGCCCTATCCCCAGAATAGAACTACTATCATTGAAAATTGCTTCTGGCCGGGCGCGGTGTCTCACACTTGTAATCCCAGAGCTTTGGGAGGCCAAGGCGGGTGGATCACCTGAGGTCAGGAGTTTGAGTCCAGCCTGGCCAACATGGTGAAACCTAGTCTCTACTAAAAATACAAAAAAATAGCTGTGCGTGGTGGCAGGAGCCTGTAATTACAGCTACTCAGGAGGCTGAGGCAGGAGAATCGCTTGAACCTAGGAGGCAGAGGCTGCAGTGAGCCAAGATGGCGCCACTGCACTGCAGCCTGGGCGACAACTCTTTTTTTTTTTTTAAAAAAAAAGGGCCCAGCACTGTGGCTCACGCCTGTAATCCCAGCACTTTCGGAGGCCGAGGCGGGCGGATCACGACATCAGGAGATGGACACCATCCTGGCTAACACGGTGAAACCCCGTCTCTACTAAAAATACAAAAAAAATTAGCTGGGAGTGGTGGCGGGCGGGCGCCTGTAGTCCCAGCTACTCAGGAGGCTGAGGCAGGAGAATGGCGTGAACCCGGGAGGAGGAGCTTGCAGTGAGCCGAAATCGCGCCACTGTACTCCAGCCTCGGCGACAGAGCGAGACTCCGTCTCAAAAAAAAAAAAAAAGGAAAAAAAGAAAAAAGAAAAGAAAATTGCTTTTGTGACAACAACTTGAATACTAAAAGTTGGTCCCTGGTTCCAATGGTTGAAGGCACCTTAATAGTTAAATGTCATCCTACAGTTTAACCAGGTAGCTGTTAAAACAGATAACCCAAATAAACAATAACACGGCATTTGGCTGACCACCCTTTAAAACCTCTGAGGCTTTTAATGAGTGGGAAGGCTAGAATACTACTGAAGTCACTCATTAGACTAACAAAATTATATAGAAGAATGATAATGTATTTCCGTATTTATATTTCAAAACCTTATTCCTTGGCCAATACTTGTTAGTAAAGTGATTATGGTACTAAACGAAGTTTTAGACTGTAAACTCCTAGAAATTATCATTTCAAGTGTGTATTAAATTTCAAGCAAATTTTAAACCAGTTTAAGATTCATCCTTAAAGAACAGTTAAAACTGATTGAAAATAATCCAATTTCACCGCACTTTATACATCATACCTGAAATGCAATGAAGACACATTATTATACACTAATGAAGAAGCAAAGATTCGGCCTCTTATCTGGGAAATCAGAGGGTGGACTACCTGGGCTCCTTTTAGCAAAACACTTTTCCAAAAGAAACTTATTTTTGTTTTCTTTAAACAATACTGTCCTGTCCTAAACGAAATCATTTCTAGTCTTTTGAAAATCCACGTGTCTTTGCGTGTTTATTTATTTATTTTTAAATTTTTTATTTTTTTTGCAGTGCTAAAAAAAAAAAAAAGATGCAAGGTTTCCAGCCCTGGGGACCAGGACGCTCTAGCTCCTGTCTCAGTTCAGCCCTAGCTCTAATTGTGACCTTGGGAAATGTCCCTGGCTCGGAGGACTCGGTTTCCCTCTCTTCTCAATTATAAGTGCTCGGGAACATGGGGGTGGGACGGGCCCCCAGCACCGCAGACAGGGGGCTACAGCTTGTCCAGTTTCACGCAAATCCCCAGCCCTCCTCGTCGCCTCGGCTCTTCCCATCCACTCAGCCACTGGCTCGCTCGGAGCAGTGTGTTCCCGGTGCCCCCCGCGGGGTACCCTCGGTTCTACACCGCGCTCCCCTTTTGTGTCTTGCTGCTAGGAAGGGACCTTGCGATCATCCTTCCATCCGCCGAGAAACGCTCCACCTACCCTTCATTCTCGACCGGGTCTTTCCCGTTTCAGAGAACCCCTCACATTGCTGCCCTCGAGAGACCCCCGCCGTGGATCTGACTGGGAATCCCTCTCCTTCTTTCGTCTCAGGAGACCTTCCCTTCACACAGCCTTCACCTCCGGAGGAGCCCTCAATTCACACAACCCCATTCTTCCTCAAACTCTCAGGGATTGGCACCCGGCTGCCTTTTGCTGAGCCGCAAAGGACCCTCAGCCTCCCCCACCTCCGCCATCGGTTCTGGGGACCCCTCTCACCTCCGCGGTGAGAGATGTGTTTACTGAGGAATCGCTGCTTCTTTCTCTGGTGCAGCAAGGTCGGGTATTTAAGCAACAAGAATGAGGTCACCAAGTACCCTCCTAGCGTAGACAGAAGGTAAAAAGCCGCAGTGGACGACATCTCAGTCACCGTGTGGGAAGTCTCCCACCTCCGGGCCCTCTGAACTCCGCTGCGGCAGTAGCAACGACGGCGGCGGTGGCGGCTGCTCGAGGTCTGCTCGCCCCCAGCCGGTGCCAGTGGTGCAGCGCACTTGTCAGTGCCGGCCTAGTGCGCATGCGCAGCTGGACCCCAGCGCCCCAGCAACAAAGGGGCTCCGACGCGCAGGCGCGCTCCGCCTCTCAAGTAGGAGCCTGCAGAGATCCTGGAGTGAGCGTTTGTCACCTAGCTCTGTGGACCGACCCGCATGAAGAGAAAGCTTGCAAACCTGCCAGTGTGTTGGCCATCACTCAAGCAGAAAAGACTATTCACGGATAGCCTTTCCTAATTGGAAAATCCACATCAAAAAGGAAAGATTCCAGGGCGCGTCTTAGCCCCTACTCTAGGAAATGCAAATAATTTTTACCTATGGAGGCGATAAAGCTTGCTAAAAACTAAATAAACTCATCCATTTATCTAGCCTACAGAGAATTTCCCCTATGGTCACATATACTAGAAAAGGTACCGGTTTACCAGTCAACTATCTGAGAGATCGACCCCTCTCCTCTCATTTCATTGTGGAAGTGCAATCCTCATTCTTTGTACACAATAGGCACTGTAGAAGTATTTGCTGGCTTACAAGTCTGTATAAAATAAGGAAACTTTGTCAAGGTTATAAAGTATTACCTAAAAGTCCTAGAAAGACAGATAACTAAGTTCCATTAGGCCCTACTAGTTTTCCTTTCACCAGACAAATTACAAACTGCTAACACACGAAGAGCCACACTTCAATGCAAAAGAAATCAATCATCCAGGACTGAGGGAGAAATTTTACGGAAAAGACCATGTCTCCCATAGGACTAGAAAAGCAGAGTATTTAAAATCCTGTGATTCAGTTGGGCGCGGTGGTTCACGCCTGTAATCCCAGCACTTAGGGAGGCTGGGAAGGGTGGATCGCTTGAGCCCGGGAGTTCGAGACCAGCCTGGGCAATGTGGCGAAACCCCATCTCTACGAAAAATAAAACAAAAATAAGCCCGGCGTGGTGGTGTGCACCTGTAGTCACGCTACTCGGGAGGCTGAAGTGGGAGTATTGCTTGAGCCTGGAAAATCGAGGCTGCAGTGAGCTATGACTGCACCACTGCACCCCCAGCCTGGGCAACAGAGCAAGACCCTATCTCAACTATAAAAAGAAAATTAGAAGAAAATAGGGGGTGGCCGGGCACGGTGGCTCAAGCCTGTAATCCCAGCACTTTGGGAGGCTGAGGCAGGCAGATCATTTGAAGTCAGGGGTTCAAGACGAGCCTGGCCAACATGTCGAAACCCCATCTCTACTAAAAATACAAAAATTTGTCAGGGGTGGTGGCACCCACCTGTAGTGCCAGCTACTCGGGAGGCTGAGGCAGGAGAATCTCTTGGACCCGGGAGGCAGAGGTTGCAGTGAGCGGAGATCGCACCACCGCACTCCAGCCTGGGCGACAGAGCAAGACTCCATCTCAAAAAAAAAAAAAAAAAAAAAAAGAAAATCCTTTAGTCGAGGTTGAAGTGAGCCTTGATGGTGCCACTGCACTCCAGTCTGGGCAACAGAGCAACATTTGAGGAAACTCACAGATTAAAAAATTGTGTCTTCTGTTTAGGGTTGTTAAACTATTTCCCGTAGATCAACTGAGGCACATGGTTCTATTTTTCAAAATATCACCTGACGGCAATGGAAGGGTCTAGAATAAACCACTGTGGCATACAAATTATTTTGAGGCTGGGCATGGTGGCTCATGCCTGTAGTCCCAGCACTTTGGGAGGCCGAGACAGGCAGATCACCTGAGGTCGGGAGTTTAAGACCAGCCTGGCCAACGTTGTGAAACCCCTATCTACTAAAAATACAAAAATAACCCAAGCATAGTGGTGCATGCCTGTAGTCCCAGCTACTAGAGAGGCTGAGGCAGGAGAATGGCTTAAACCCGGGAGGTGGAGCTTACAGTGAGCAGAGAGCATAGAACTGCACCCCAGCCTGGGCGACAGAGCAAGACTCCGTCTCTAAAAAAAAAAATTAAAAAAAAAAAAAAATGGCCGGGCGCGGTGGCTCAAGCCTGTAATCCCTGCACTTTGGGAGGCCGAGACGGGCGGATCACGAGGTCAGGACATCGAGACCATCCTGGCTAACATGGTGAAACCCCGTCTCTACTAAAAAATACAAAAAATAGCCGGGCGAAGTGGCGGGCGCCTGTAGTCCCTGCGACTCGGGAGGCTGAGGCAGGAGAATGACGTAAACCCGGGAGGCGGAGCTTGCAGTGAGCTGAGATCCGGCCACTGTACTCCAGCCTGGGCGACAGCGCGAGACTCTGTCTCAAAAAAAAAAAAAAAAAAAAAATTATATATATATATATATTTTTATATATATATATATATATATATATATATATTTTTTTTTTTTTTTTTTGAGCTGAAGGCATTTAAATTCCTGGAATCCCTTATTTGCCTAAAATCAAAGGCTCCCAAAAGAACTTAACTGTCATAAATCTCCTCCCTGGGAACAACTCTAATCTTGTCAGAGATGAGAGAGAGACATTGTCACAAAAGTATGATATCACATGGGTATTCTCCTAAGGACACATTTATGTTTCCAAAAAATCATTTCTTTTCCAAAACGTGCTTTCTCCCCAGCTTCTAAGAAGTCATTTGTTCTTCTGGAAGTACTTCTACCCCTTCCCACCCAGTAAATTTTAGATGATATATAAACCTCACATTCTAACTGCTTTTTTTTTTTTTTTTTGGTCTCTGTGAGACCACAGAGTCTCACTCTGTGGCCCAGGCTGGAGTTCAGCGGCGACATCTTGGCTCACTGCAACCTCTGCCTCCGCGGGGTTCAAGTGATTCTCCTGCTTTAAATATATATAAAATATATATTTAAATATAATATTATATATTATATATAATATAATATTAATATATATATATTTTAAAAGGAGTTTCGCTCTTGTTGTCTAGGCTGGAGTGCAATGGCATGATCTCAGCTCACTGCAACCTCTGCCTCCCAGGTTCCAGCGATTCCCCTGCCTCAGCCTCCCGAATAGCTGGGATTACAGGCATGCACCACCTGGCCTGGCTAATTTTGTATTTTTAGTAGAGACGGGGTTTAGCCATGTTGGTCAAGCTGGTCTCGAACTCTTGACCTCAGGTGATCCACCTGCCTCAGACTCAAAGTGCTGGGATTACAGGCGTGAGCCACTGTGCCCCAATAATTTTGTATTTTTAGTAGAGATGGGGTTTCACCATGTTGTCTGGGCTGGTCTCGAACTCTTGACCTCAAGTGATCTGCCCACCTAGGCCTCCCAAAGTCCTGGGATTACAGGCTCATTCTCACATTTTCTAAGAAGACAGAACAACAGGAAAAGTATGAATTCAAAATCAGAGTTCTGAATTTTTTTATTATTTTATATAATTTTATTTTAATGAAGGTAAGAGAAGAAAGAGGAGCATTTATCTTTTTTTTTTTTTTTTTTTTTTTGAGATGGAGTCTCACTCTGTCACCCAGGCTGGAGTGCAGGGGCAAGATCTCAGCTCACTGCGACCTCCGCCTCCCAGGTTCAAGTGATTCTCCTGCCTCAGCCTCCCGAGTAGCTGGGATCACAGGCGCACGCCACCAGGCCTGGCTAATTTTTGTATTTTTAGTAGAGATGGGGTTTTACCATGTTGGTCAGGCTGGTCTCAATCTCCTGCCTTGGCCTCCCAAAGTGCTAGGATTACAGGCATGAGCCACCGCCCCCAGCCTCTGTATATTTTTAAGTAAAAAAAACAATGGCTTTAAATGTAGCAAGATGTGTTAAGTACATATTTCCTATATATTGAGACTAAAATCTACAATTCTATTTGTCCAACATTTCAAAATTAGTGTGTCTATGGAAACATAATCAATTACACAAGAGTTTAGGTATGTTAACTGACTTTGTACTTACCTAATTGGTGATATATATCTAATTGGTGATAAAGCACAATATACCACTATGTCTCCATCTGATTGGTGATAACTAGGTGGTGATTAAAATTAGATGGTGATATAGTGGCATATTGTCATGTTGATGCTGGTGAATTACCATAGATTGATAAAATTTTTTTTTACTTTTTTTTTTTTTTTTGAGACGAAGCCTCACTCTGTCACCAGGCTAGACTGCAGTGGTGCCATCTCAGCTCACTGCAACCTCTGCCTCCCAGATTCAAGCAATTCTCCTGCCTCAGCCTCCCAAGTAGCTGGGACTACAGGGGTGTGCCACTACACCCAGCTAGGTTTTGTATTTTCAGTAGAGATGCGGTTTCACCATGTTGGCCAGGATGGTCTGGATCTCTTGACCTCATGATCCGCTCGCCTTGGCCTCCCATAGTGCTGGGATTACAGGCATAAGCCACCACGCCTGGCCCAAGATTTTTTTTTTTTTGAGACAGGGTTTTGCTCTGTTGGGGTGGTATGATCACAGCTCACTGCAGCCTAGACCCACTGGTGTCAAGCCATCCTCCCACCTCAGCCTCCTGAGTAGCTGGGACTACAGGCATGCACCACCACATCTATTTTTTCTTTTTTTTTTTGTAGAAACAAGGTCTCACTATGTCTTCCAGGCTGGTCTTAAGGGATCCTCCTGCCACCTAAGCCTCCCAAAGTGCTGCAATTAAAGGCATGAGCCATTGTGCCCAGACTGATTGATAAGATTTGGATCAGTTAGCAAATTGTTTCACAGTACAGGAATTTTTAAAGAATAGTCTGCATTGACCGGGCAAGGTGGCTCACACCTGTAATCCCAACACTTTGGGAGGCCAAGGCAGGTGGATCACCTGAGGTCAGGAGTTCAAAAACAGCCTGGGCAACATGGCGAAATCCTGTCTCTATTAAAAATGCAAAAATTAGCTAGGCGTTGTGGCATGTGCCTGTAATCCCAGCTACTCAGGAGGCTGAGGCAGGAGAATCACTTGAACCCAGGAGGCGGAGGTTGCAGTGAGCCAAGATCACACTATTGCACTCCAGCCTGGGTGACAGAGTGAGGCTCCGTCTGAAAAAAAAAGAAAAAGAAAAAAGAAAAAAAGAATAATCCACATTAATATACTGGATTAAAAAGTTTAGTTCAGATAATATTCATTTAAAATATGGTATCTCATCAGGCCAAGATAAGAACAAAACAGTTTAAAGTACCAGAATTGTGAGTCAACCAATTGTGCTTTTTTTGGAATGAAGTCAAATATCTTCATATTATTAGCAGAAAACCTAATCTCTCAACTTGTTTCGAAGATAATTTCAAGACTAGCATCTAATAAAAATCCCAGCTAGGCTGGCCGTGGTAGCTCACACCTGTAATCCCAGCACTTTGAGAGGACAAAGTGGGCGGATCACCTGAGGTCAGGAGTTCGAGACCAGCCTGACCAACATGGAGAAACCCTGTCTCTACTAAAAGTACAAAATTAACCGGGTGTGGAGGCACATGCCTATAATCCCAGCTACTCAGGAGGCTGAGGCAGGAGAATGGCTTGAACCTGGGAGGTGGAGGCTGCGGTGAGCCATGATTGCACCATTGCACTGCAACCTGGGCAACAAGAGTGTAATTCTGTCTCTC